GTGCTTACACCCAACAGAAACAAGAGACAAAGAGCACATTTCTAATTTAAAAAGAGCGAAGGACTGGAATTAAGAGGAGGAAGAGAAGATATAGCGGGATTTATATCAAAAAAGTGGGAAACAGAAAAGGACACAGGCAGAATGAGGAAGGATACAACAAAAATGAGACTGCAAGAGCCAGAGAGAGAGAGAGAGCCAGAGAGAGAGAGAGAGAGAGAGAGGTAAAACAGAGAAAGTGAGCAACACAGAGCAAGAAGAAGAGAGACAGAAAAGTATACAAGAGAGAGATAAAGAGATGACGAGAAAGGAAAGAAAAAAGAGAAGAAAAAAGAGGTGAAACAGAAAGAGAGAGAAAAAGAGAGGGATAGTGACAGAGACAGTATAAAAGAGAGAGAGAAATAAAGATGAGACAGAAGAAATAAAAAATAGAGAAGAAAGCAAAAAAGAGAGAAAAGAAATGAACGAGAGAGAGGAAGAGAGAGACAACCAGAAAGAGGGGGGGGGGTTAAACAGAGAGAGAGCAACACAAACCAAGAAGAAAGGAGAGGGAAAAGTACAAGAGAGAAGAAGAGACAGCAAGAAAGGAGAGATAAAAGAGAGAAGAGAGGTGAAACCGAGAGAGAGAAAAAGAGAAAGAAAGAAGATAGAACAGAAAATAGAGTGAAAGGAAGTGAAAAAGAGAAATAAAGAGGAGACAGAATTAAAAAAAATACACAAGAGAGGGGTACAAAAGACAAAACATGAACAAGAGACAAGAAGAGAGCGAGACAGAGCGAAGAAGAGAGATTCACACAGAGAAAGAGAGAAAGCAAAGAGAAAAGAGGAAAGGGAAGCAGTCTTTTGCTCAAGTCACTGAGAATCTAGTTAAACTCTATTATAATTCAGCACAGGCCTGTATTATGTTCCCACAATTTAACTCACCCTTTTGGGAACAAATTGCAGTAGAACGCTTTCTGAGCTTCTGAAAGATGCACACGGTGCCCACCTGTTAGCTTATGAGTTCATGCAAAGTACACTAAAAATCTCAAGCAAAGGATATTAAAAGAGCTCTTAAAGGAGCTCAAGTGCTTGTTTGAGAAGAAAGACGTAGAGAGATTTTTACTTCACCTTATTCTTCCTCCAGCAGTGGCTCTGAAAATACAGCCTTAAAGGTGGAGTATATTGTTTATTGTTAAAAAAAGAATATTTTGTCATTCAAGAAGTTCTGGTTTTTCTCACTGGCTTTTAAGCAAACTGTGTTATTTCAGAGGGAGGCTACAGTGCAGAAATGTCCCTGTAATAAGCTTCCAGCAGGCACAGCACAAGTGGCAGCTTGGGTCTAAAACAGGCTTAAAGAAATCCCATATTAGGGCCAGTCGCACTTCATGAGCGGTTATTTAATGAACTGTAGCCTGCTGCTTAGACAAGCCTTGACTGGGGCTTAAAAAACTTTAAGGCTGGAAGTTCCTAATGCTTTCATTTGTCTGCTTTGTGGCTCAGATGAAAGTATCATGGAGACACTTTAATTCTGGAGAGCCCATGGTCTTGAAGGTCTGGTGATATTCCTGCTTAAATACACCCGGTTTAACTCAGTACTAAGACTACATTCACATTACAAGCCTTTTTGTTCAATTTCCATTATCTGTTCAGATCTGATTTTTTGTGTTTGTGAGTGGCCCATATCTGTCCTTAGTGTGAATACGAACTGTGCCCTCAAAAGACCTCGGCACACACATTCTATCAAGTTAAAGCTGCTGTTGACATGCTGCCAACCCTGGATGATGACAGCATAAAAAAAATCCAATCTCATTACAGTCGCATGGCCATGTATTTGTATTTGTGCTCTGAAAAAGTCTGATGTATATCACATTTATGCAAAAAAGAGGATTTATGCCACTAAAACCCTGTAATGTGAAATAGTCCTAGTTACCAGTTTAGTAGTTGTGCTAGAGCAAGGAAATCAATCAAACTGTGCAGGACACCTGCCATCTTGTACCAGAGTTAGGCACCCCTGTTCTAATTGGACTAGTTTCACTGACATGTGCTGTCCTCTCCTGGACAGGTGCAAAGACAGCCGACGGGACCAAACAAACGGCACAGTGATATCTAGCCAAAGTCGAAAAAGCCACTAGGGACCTTTCACCACAGACAAAGCCAAGAAGTTCAGAGACACAAGAGGATCTCCCACTAATGAGACCTTTAGAGACCATTTAGTCTTTCTCTCTCACACAAACACACACCCACACATATTTAACATTCTATGAAGTATAATCATCTTTGGATCAAGCAGCATGCTGGATAAGAGACATCCCTCGCCCTACAGCTCCCGCTCAGGGGGCTGAGCCAGCTGGAGCGGGTGATGGGCCGAAGGGCAGCCGAAACGACCAATCCGGTGCCAGTGCTGGGGGTGCCCCTTGCGGGGGGGCGGGCCGTCCTGTCGCAGAAATGGGGTCCGCTTTGCAGTGTGGGAGTGCAGACGTCGCCGGGGTTGCGCTCTCTGCCCTCCTTAAAGAGGAGAAATCAGCCAATAGGCGCAGTCCATGGAGTCTCCGTCTCCACAGAAACCATGTCGCTGGACAGGGTGAGGCCAGCCATCAAGGGGGCATTTCAGAACTGCATCAGCAACGTGTCCCAGGATGACATGTCGCAAGACGGTGGCATCTACTGCCAGATCAAATCTGTCCGGACTAACCCAATTCAATCAGGATGCAGGAGCAGTTTAAAGCGGAACCCCCGTTATGCCAACGGCAGCATAGTTGCACCAGAGTTGGTGGGTGGAGTCTCCAGCGAGGGGGCAGAAACAGCAGAGGCAGGAGGCCAGAACCGGGACAAAACTCAAGAACCCAAGCGGGGCCACTCGCTGAGAGGGGAGAAGGCTCGCCCTGTAGGCCACTGTGGGATTGTGAGCTCTTATGCCACACCCCCACGACCCTGCCGTATGATGACATCACCCAGGCTATGTGGCACTTGCGGACGAAGACAATCTCAAGCCCCGCCGTGCATGGTTCACGCCTGTCGCAAACGAGCAGCCAATCAGATCCGAGCGAGCATGACTCTTCCGATGCCACCCAAAAAGGACCTGCCCAGACTGCAGAAGCAGCATTCTAGCGAAACAAACCCAACAAACACTTCCCACACTGATCAGAGTATGCACAAAGAGAGCAGCTCTCTTTCTACACAGTCACAGAAAAGAGACACAACTACGCAAGAAACACAGACTCAAACAAATGATGTGGCCCGGCAATCGGTACAAAACAAAATCTGTAAAAATGACTCACTGAGCTCGCAATCATTTAAAAGACAAAGTAAACAGAAGTCATCACAGCACACACAGACGCAAAATGCACAAACAGGAGCGCCTATAACAAAAATCCAGCCAACAGAAACAGCACATGAAAAGCAACACACGCCGAAGGACATGCAGCCTCAAGAGGAGTGTGTGAATAAGCAAACACCCCCAGCTCCAGAGTCTGCACATTCATCTGTGTATGTCACCCCTAAACCCCCTCCTCCTGTGCTTTCTATTGGCACAGAATCAAAAACTACTTCCACTCTCCCACCTAACAACTCCTCCCAGTCGAAGCCTACAGAGCTAACACCGAAAACAGCATCACCCAAAACTGAGAATAGGTCAGAGACCAAACCCACACCAAAAACTCTCCCTGCTGATCAAGAACCTACAGTTGAGAATGACGCAGAAACCAAGCCATGCTCGGTAGACCCTATTCAACCCCCGCAAAAGGACATGACCACACCAGATGTCCCACAATGCAATGGTGTGCCGACAGCACTACAAGGCCTACTCCAAGACATAGAGGAGAACCTGCTGTCCAACCAAGAGAAGATCAAAGTTCTACTCAATGTGATTCAGGACCTGGAGAAGAGCAAGGCAATGAGTGAAGGGTGAGAAAGAAAGAAGGGCAGACAAAAAGAGAAAGAGAGGGGAGGGGGCAGAAAGACAGAGGGGTGAAACAGAGAGAGAGCAACACAGAGTGAGTGACTGAGAGAGAGAAGACTATGAAAAACAGAGAGAGAGAAAGAGAGAGCGAGAAGGGGAGTGAGAGTGAGAGAGAGGGAGGACAGTGAAAAACTGAGAAGGGAGGATGAGAGTGGGAGAGGAGAGCAAGGCTGTGAGCGAAGGGTGAGAAAGAACTAAGGACAGACAAAAAGAGAAGAGAGAAAGAAAAGAAAGACAAAGAGAGAACTATGTAAGACAGAAAGACAGAAAGCGGGATGAGAGTGAGAATAAAGGAAGAAAGAGAAAGAATGAGAGTGAATGAGAGAAAGGGGACAGTGAAGGACAGCGAGAGAGAGGAAGGAAGTGAGAGTGAGAAAGAGAAAGGGAGAGTGTGTGAGAGAGACAGAGAGAAAGAGAGAGAGAGGTAGAGAGACAGACAAAGGAAGATGGGGCAGTGAATGGGCAAGAGAGAAAGCGAGAGAGAAACAGAGAGAAAGAAACAGGGGGTAGTGAGAGAGTGAGAGGAGAGAGAGTAAGAGAGACTGACAGAAGCTGAGCGAGAGAGAGAGAGTGACTCTAGTTGGTGTTGAAACTCATAGACTGATTCAGTATTCCGCAGCTTGAACATCCCATAATTCCCATGGTGAAAGTGGTCTCTCACGGCAACCCCTAAGGAATCAAAATCATCAATAGACATTCTCCCCCCTTCGCTGCTCTCTCTCATCTTTTAGACTTGGTTTCTCTCATCTCTTTCCTCTCTCTCGCCTCCAATCCTTATTTACCCTCTTCCCTTAACCAGCACAGTCCCTCTTACCTCTCCTCACTTTTTCCCTTTTACTCTGCCTGCTTTTCTCTGCATCGTCTCTGCATCGTGTCCTCTCTCATTCCCTATGCTTCCTTCCCCTCTATCACTCACTTTGCCACCTCTCCTCATGCTGTCAGTTCTCATCAGCTGCTCCTGACAGACAGTGCTGCTCTGTGTGTGGATGTCTGAGAGTCATTTGTAATCCTGCCGCGGTGAGTAATTCAAAATTCTGAATATTGTTTACTGTCCTGTAAACAGCCGCTGCTCCTACAGAACAGGGCAGGACATCAACAACTGCTCGACGTGTCAGAAAACAGCCTGCATCATTTACAGGTACTATCCACAATGCATTACATGTTGGCATTGGCGCCGTCTTCTCAGCAAACATGTCTCCAGAAGACGGGCTGATGTGTTGGAGGTGGTTATTTATATGAGTTTAATAAGTGGATTTGTTGTAGCGCTGTGGGTGAAGGCTGTTCTGCTCTGTAGCGTTTTATCATTAAGACGCAGAGGGTTCATACCGCCAATTAAGAGAAATAAAGCCCTATGGGACACTAACACACATACACGAATACACACACACACACAAAGAGAGAACACACACTGTGGCCCAGAGCATCATGGGATATGCAATAGCAGAATCACCCCAAAAGAACTGGGATGCTCCAGTCTTCGCTCTTGCTGGCATGAACAACTCAGCTTCATGTTCACTATTCACTCTCTCTCCCTTTTTCTTCCTCTCTCTGTCTCACTCTGTCTTCCTTTCTTCTTTATCTCTCTTTTCCTTTTTCTCTCCCCTTCTTCCTCTCTCCTCTCTCTCCCTCCCTTCACACTCTCTCCCTCTCCTGCATTCATTCTCTTGCTCTCTTTCTTTTTTGTCCTTCTCTCCCATCACTTTCTCTCTTCTCTCTCCCCTTCTTCATCTTTCTCTCACCTTTCTCTCCCATCTTCCTCTCTTTTTTCTCTTCCCTCCTTGCTCTCTTTTTCTTTCACTTTCCTTCCCCTCTCTCCCTTCTCCCTCCCCCCCCTCCTCCTCTCTCTCCCTCCCTTCATTCTCTCACTCCCTCTCTTCCTCTTTTTTGTCCTTCTCTCCCATCACTCTCTCACATTCTCTCCCCTTCTTCCTCTCTCCCTTCCATCCCTCTCTCTCCCTTGCCTCTGTCTCTCTTCTATTTTATGCCTCTTTCCTCTATACCTCCTCTCTTCTCTTCCACATCTCTGTCTCTATATACGCAACCCCCCCCCCAACCCCCCCCCGCCTCATTCCTCTCTCTCTTTTTCTATCATTCTTCTAAGCTGCCAGTTCCATCACACTCTCTCGTGCCGGGATGAAAAGCATCAAAAATTATTCCACTATTCTGAACTTCAATCTGACACACATACAGACACACAGACACACACACAGACAAACACACACACACACACGCAGAATGACCCGTGTGCACACACAAGCTTCAAGCCTCTTGCTCTCCTTTATGCTTTTACATACACGCAGACACACACTGAGGTAAAAGAAGCCGCAGGAATCAATTAAGAACAGCTGCTTTTTTCTACAGAAGCTTAATCCCACAACAATACAGAGAGAGCAGCCAAGTGCACAAAACATCCCCACACACACTTTACAATATGCAAAGCTACACACAGACAGACAGAAAGTTCAGCCACACAGCAGCACTGCAGGATAAACACAGTTTATTAGACACTTAAGTTTGCACCTCACAAATCATCTGTCTTTTCAGCTGGAATACAAAAGCAGAAAAGACTGTTCACATTCATAACATTATCTCCTGCTTTTCTTCTTTTTTTTCAGACACACACACACACACACACACACACACACACAACTGTGCCTGGCTTTGTGCTAACTGTTGGTTTATGATTTCTGGAAGATAAAGTTTATTCTTCAAACTTCTCTCTCTCTGGAGAAATGCTCTGCTTTACAGGGATTTCCAAAGAGGAATACACTCTTCCCTCTCTCATCTTTCATCATTTATTCATCCTTTCAATCCACTTTTCCTCCATTTCTCCCAGCTCACTTCTTCATCTCTTCTCCTTCTTTTCTGTCTCACCATCTCTACCTCTCTCAACATCTCTTTACTAGGCTCTCTCTCCTTTTAACCCAAAGTGTTTGCATCTCTCCAACGTCTGCCTAAGAGTCTCCATCTCTCCATCTTTCAGTCTGCACTTTCAGCCTTGCACTCATTTCATGCTGACGCAAGGTGCATCTAATGGAGCTGGCAGACACACACACACACAAGGGTTTGCTACAAACTGCAAACTTCACAGCCCCCTTTTCCCTTTTCTGTGTTCCCACTCTGCCTTTCAGAATAGCGCTCTATTCTGACCATTTTGCAATCGTCCACACATCCTCACTGGACATGGCTGTGGCAGCGTTGTCACAATGCAAGAATTCTGACCTTCAGATACCAAGTATAGTATACCAAAACAATACTACATTGTTACAAATAAAGGTACATTGTGGAGATTCATTTTTCATTCATCAAGGTACAAACAATGTAAATATACTCTCAAAGGTACAACAGTGGTGGACCATAAAAAGTTTTTCCCAGTGAAAAAATACATATTTGTACCTTTTAATAACCTGAATGTTTTAAAACAGAACACTAAAATAAAAAGCCTGGAGACGAGACGGGGTGTGTGGAATCAATACATCTAAGAAAATCTCAGATAATCTCAATGGATTATGGTTCAACTACATTCCCTGACTAAAAGTACTGAGATGTATACTTTTTTTTTTTAAGTGTATGGAATTTGGAATTTTGACTCTGATACTAAGAGTGCAATGCTCAGTACATTAAAACAATACAGTCAGAAACGTGAATTTGGACTTTGATATTAGCCTAATATTAAACGAAGAATAGCAATGATACTACAGCAAAATCTTTACAGTCTTCACTTTGATATTTATACCAAGTGTAGTACCACAATTCTTAATGCCACAAACTGGCAAAATTAGCATTTGACTTCAATTTCAATATTAAGTATAGTATCATAATACCAAAATGGCACTACAGCCAAAAAAAAGAACACAAAACAATTGCCTTCTGATTGCTCAAAGCTTACTGGACTGACCACAGAAGAATGTTCAAATTCTTACAATTAACATCTTTGATTTTCTTTTATTCAACCTTCTTTATCAACACTAATCTCTTTATTTTGATGAAATCAACAAAAACATAGATACAAACACATAAATACAATCAAATACATAACTAACTAATTTAAATATAGCCTCATTCAGCATGTTCCAAAGCGGACAACGAAACTAGGATATACAATTTTTCAAGTACAATATCGGGCTCGGGTTTGTTCATGCAGTAGATCTGTTTTTATTTAAAGGAATATGTCTATGTAAATGTTGTGTACTCTCATGCATATTCTCTCTTACTCGCTCTCTCTCTTTATCTCTCTCTCTCTCTCTCTAGTAGCATTATATTCCATAGCCATGATCTGATTAGCTCTGGAGTTTAAGCATTTCTGTAGTAGTCGTGGTGATAGAAGCTTTAGTCCAGTGGGGATAACAGTTGATCAGAGGAGGGTAGATGATGTTCTCTGCCAGGTATAATCATCAATTAATATATATTTATTATATTAATTACAATTAAAATATGATAAAAATACTGATTATGTATTACAGGCTTCAATTTCATGTCCTCTAATCAAACTAGCATACATAAGTTGATTTGTTATTAGGTACACTACAACGTCAGCTGAAGGTATTACAGAACTGAAGGTAGTAAAGTCAGAGTATTGTACTGTTGGCCACGCTGTGTTACTAAAAGGCACTGAACTTTCAACACATTGTGTAATACAATTTTATAGCAGTACTGTCCAGAGAGTACAGGGTCTTTCTCTCTTGCACATACATTTTCACACACACACACAGACAGACTGCAATAGTGCATGGCCCCCTAACAGAGGGCAGTTTAATATTGGAGCCTACAGCAGGATTAAATGGGTCGTTATGTATCTCTCCTCACTACCACTAATACGGAGGAACACAATGCTGCCGTTCCAACACCAGCCGGAAGGCAGCATTTTAGAGAGATAATTAAGAAAAAAAAATGGAAAGAACAATAGAGAGAGTATTAGAGAGAAAGAGATAAAGAGAGAGAGGGGGGACGCTTAAGAGAGATGAGATAAAGAAAAAGAGGAAATATGCAGAAGAAGACAATGGGTCTTTGAAAATGAGAATCAGGACAGAAAAGAGAGGTATGAGCTGCCCTGTTTGTATGTGTGTGCGTGATTAATGCTTGCCTGTTGTCCTGTAGTTTGTCTTAGAGTTGACTAACAGGCTGTTATAAGCGCCCCAGAGATTAGACTAAACATACGTCTCACTTTGTCTTTCTCTTCCTCTCTTTCAAAGTCATACATTCTTTAATAACATGACAAGCTTCTGTTCCTAAAAGCAATGAACAACTTCAATTAGTTTTCTTTTTCCAACACTTTTAGCCAGACAACACATCCATTAGATACAGCACGTATAGCTTTCACAACATAATGCCTAGCTGAATGTTTCTAGGAACTTTTGATGACTTTAAAAGATTAAAGTAAGCCATGGACCGTAGTATTTAGTATGTTTATACTTGGATCATGTGGTCTGCATCTAAAATATGGCTGCATATATAAATTCCATATAGCAATTATATTGCAACATATTTTTGTATAATATTCTCACTGCATATTTGTATTTATCATCTGTAGATATTGTGTTGTACAGCTATAGAGAGAAATTTCCTAAGCCTCATCACAAGCTTTTCAGTGTATAGATATATGATGTGATAAATAAAAAGAGTGACTTTGACTTACAGCGCTTGTGGTATGCTTTGTGCTATTTTAAAAACATCTTGATGAAACCTGAGGTTATAGATTATTCTCTCTCCCTCTCTCTCTTTCTATCTCTCTCTCTTTCACGTTCTAGTGTTGAGCATGATTTTCGGCTGCAGGAGGGCCGTTTCCAGAGTGTCCTTGAAGCACTGGATGTGGAATACGATGTCCCAACACCCATCCCTAAACAACCTGCCCCTTCTCGACCCCGTACCAAGAACCGTGTCAAGAAACTCCGCAAGAAATGCTTCTGGTGGCTTTAGCCCTCGACAACAACCGCTACGACAACAGTTACCATGAGCATCGTTATTACAGCCAAAGCCTCTGAGCATTCCGATTACAGAATCCCTGTCTGTCGCCAAGGAACAGGTCTATGTGTTTATGGCTTTTGGTTGCTGAAAAGTATTCAAGTAGCTATGGAGGTACACCAGCACTATCATCATGGAGAGGTGACATATATCCATAGAACTTCATGACAAGATTGTGGATATTAATCTCGCCCCAAGTATGGTAGAATCTGCAGAAACAATGCAACTCTGCTTTTCAGAAGAACAAGTGGATATACTTCTCTTTACCTTTATAAAATTTATTTTTTAGTTCTCATACTTTAGGTTCATGAACAAAATATTGAGAAACCTTCTGTCCAAAGACTGGAGAGAAAAACCCAACAGGACAACAAAAACCTTCAGGACATTTCCAAAGTCCTGAGGGAACTGACAGCCAGAGACTCCAGCCAATCAATAGCCCCTTCTCGGTTGACTGACAGAACTGGGATCCAATCAATATTACCCTTCACAATGACTGACAGAACGCTAACCCAGTAGAGACACCTTGTCCCAAACATTTCATCACTGCATTCCCTGCCTGAAGAGTAAATGTAGATGCCTGAAGTTCCTCCCAACTTAGGCTGCGCTGACTCCAGTCTAAGCTCAACAGAGAGTGTGAATTCTCATCCAATTACTGATAGCATAACATTAGCATGGGTAGAAACAGTTACATCCCAGATGCACTCATTTTAATCTTAATTGGTTGCTTGCAGCCTGAAACTCTAGAACAGGAGTGATGCGGGATTTGCATCGTCAGGCACTGAAGAACAGGATAAAAAGGAAAAGTCTGTTTAACTATTTAAGCCTTGCTCCCTCGCATACACAATTGCCCGAGTCACTCTCAACGGCAAGATTATTTTCAGGCTAATGTCGTCTGGATGCACTTATGATAATTGAACAACACACAGACATAGAGACAAGAGATTGGTCTGAAAATGGATATGCATTTGGTTTTCTCACACACACTTATTATAGTTTCACAGTGTGACTTCATTAGTGGAATGGATGCACAAGTGTCTGCGTGCATACACACACATACTTAGTCTTCCGCTGTTCGTCTGTCTTGAACATAGACACATCACCATTACTGTATTTTTGTAAACTGCTATTTGAATAGGCTAAAACTACATTACCCATGATTCCTCTTGCCTACCTTTAGCTGTCCTCACGGCTGTTTGTAACTGATATATTTGGGATGATATAAATAAAACATATTTTGATGCAGTGATTGTTTCCAGTTTGCTGACTGTGGCAGGGCAAGAAATATGTTGTGTTTTCTATTTAGAGAAAGGGCCAGACTCTGCAGCAGAGTGATTTAGTATGTAAACCTATAGGAGGACTGGGCACACTGCTTTCTTCCCTTCTGAGGATTTGCATGTTTCAAGAGAAATACTTCCATAAAAACAAACAGAAATGAAAAATGACAGTATAGGTAGAGTACCAGAGAGAAGTTCTGATAAGGTGTCTGATCTGATCTTACCTGAGTCTACAGAAAACAGCAAACATGACACGGTGTATGAATGAGTTTCTAAAGCTTTTACAGTGAATCAACAAAATAACAAAAACATAGGTTATAAAAGGAAAGGAGAGGGCAGGAGAAGAGAGGAAAGAGGAGAAAAGCATAAAAGGCACTGACTTTGGTGTAATACACACAAAAAGCTTCTATTTTTTTAACATTGAATCAATCAAAATTGTAAGTTTTGCATACAATTCTTAATGGGTTTCTCAAACTTTTTCAGTGTAGGTTTCTGTGCGACAAGAAGTTTCTAAAACCTTAATAACTACTCAAAAATGATGTAGGGTTGGCGTAGAACACAACAAGTCTCTAAAAAAGAAATCAACAAATGAAAAACACAGTCAGGCAGAAGAGAATATAGGATGGGAATAGAGAATAGGTGAGGAGAGAAGAACAGAGAGAAGATATAAAAAGAAGAGAACAAAAAGTGAGGGAATAGAAGAGAAAAGAAGAGGAGAAAAGTAAGAATAAAAGATTAAAAGAAGAGATCAAAGAGAAAGAGAGAAGAGAAGAGAAGAGAAGAGAAGAGAAGAGAAGAGAAGAACACTCAGCGAGATAGCTGTAAAACTCACGATGAGGGTGTGTTCTCGGCCCATGATGATGACCGTGCGGTTTATGGTCCTCAGCAGAGATGTCACAATTTTCTGGATATGCTGAAACGTGTCTCCCTGTAATCATATAGAGAGGAAGAACAGAGATAAAGAATTAGAGAATGAGAGGAAGAGAGAAAGAATGAGAGAAAAAGAAAGCATAAGAAATCATGTAAAGAACATAAATAACACCCATTACTCTGACACACCAAAAACCAAAGTGCTTTACAATAAAACAAAAAGGATTCCCACCTTCTGAACACCACTACCATAAATTCACACAACAGTGTACAGAGCTCAGTCCACAGTTCAACGACTGCTGAATGCTAATCGATAAAATGTGTTTTAAGCTTTGTTTTAAAAACAGTCACAGATGAAGCATGCCTGAAGTCACTTGGAAGACCATTCCAAAGTCTTGGTGCAGCGACAGCAAAAGCACGATCCCCTTTATGTTTAAGACGAGACCGAGGAACAGTTAAAAGTGACTGAGACACAGACCTTAAAGATCTTGAGGGCGCATATATACAAAGCATGTCCTCAACATATGCAGGTAGCTGCATATGCATAGTGGCCTCGACAGCATTACCATGCTGAGGGCTGAGGGCAGTGGCAAACCACAGGCCTGTTTCAAATGGAAGAAAAAATGACCCCCTTCAGAAGCCCCTTACAAATGGCCATTACCGAAAAGTGCAAATCAAAGGCAATTTTCAGAAAGCAATTCAGGAAGTAATTCAGGCTGGTATTGAGGTTCAGGTGGTCTTTTCGGTGACAACAAACTGCAAAGTGGCACTTTTTAAGTGACATAAAATGTAAGATTTTTTCCTTCTAATGCATTGTGTTAGGAAAAAAGGCTTTTGATATTGGTAGCACAAAACCAATCGAATTTAATATATGCTGGCTGGCATGCAAGAACTACAAAGCGGCATCCTATTTTAATAGTGCTTCTCTGAAGCACAATCTCCTCCTCGAACATAACACACACGCACACACACACACGCACACTCAACTGTTACTCTCACACACTCCACAGACACAGCTAAAAGGTTACAATTAAGACTTCAATAACACTATCATTACTGAGGGAGACAGAATGGATAGGGAAGAATGAAGCAGTTGTATGTGTAGTAACGTGTGTGTGTATGTGTGTGAAAGAGAAAGAGAAAGAAAGCGCAGGAGAAGAGAAAATAGCTATTCTGTTGGACTGAATTTTAAGCTGGCTAGCCTTTGATTCTCGGGGGCTCCCCTGGCTCTTGCTTCCCCTCTTCTGTGCTAATTTATTGCAGATAACGTCATTGATTGCACTGAAGGACTTCTTATCTCCTCTCCCAGAAGCAAATAAGTAAAAAAGCATATATGTGTGTGCATGTGGACTCTTGCAGAGAGCAACTCTTCTGAAAATAGATCAACATCAACAACATCCCCATGGATAAAGCCACATGCTTTATGTCTAGGAAAAGATGTCTTCCTAGACTGCAGTGCTACCAGTGACAGCCTGATGCATTAGCCTTGCCTCTGGCACTTTTGCCTTTTTGCCTTCGATTGTGGCCTTTGGCAAATACAGACCTTAAGATCCGCACTCCAGCAGCTGTCTATCATGCAGTGTGTGTGTCTAGCTTGTTGAATGGATCTGAAGCTTGGACTCCCGGAGGCCTGTCATACACACTGTCTGGAGCCTACAGTGGGAAATGTCTGGAAACTGGAACACATACCCACCAACCTTCAAGCGCAGCCCAATCAGAGTTAAATGCAAGCTTGTAAGCAGTTCTGCATGGCTAGGACACACAAACCACATGTCTGCAGCACACCAAACAAAATACGGCCATTTAAATGTCCTGGAAAACTCTGTGCAACCATGGACCTGAGGCCATAGGGATCCTCAAAGGCCTTGTTACAGGAATGCACACAGCAGACCACAAGCGGTCTCAAATTATTGGTTTAACAAGCAATTGTAAGGCCATATCACAAAGAAACACACAGGTGTCTCACACTTGCATTAACCTACCAACTTCCTACCTACCCTTCACTGTTCCACACTGTTACATCAGCAATAACGCTTGCTCTTCGGTCTCTTCCCACATTAAGAAGGTGGGAGTCCACCTCGAATCAGCTACATTGACTGGTTTTATGACCAGTGACAAACCTCTATCCCATAGGGAAATTAATACTCATTTACTCTTTTCATCAATGCAGAGCAATGATGTTGAGGCCTCATGTTAAGGTAATTGTCTATTCTGCCTATAGATGATGCCGGCCTTGGACTGGGTCATGGTACAATCCCCACTAAAGTTAATGTTTACAACCTCTCTCAAAAGAAGGTTGAATAAAATGAGAAATGAAAAATTTTAGAAACTTGTTAGCTTCTTGAAACATTTTTGCTAAGAAGCATGAAAACAGTGTGCTGCAAACTCAAAGCAAGGCCAGAAGGGAAGATAAATCCAATACTAGGCCTACCGCTGTCAAACAAACACCAGGCATCCGAAATCTAAGAAACTTTGAGAATATCAAATACAGGCCTCTGCATAATTCAGAAATACATTCAATAAAACAGTGTAGAACATCCACTTTTTAATAGCCACAGTTTTTGATGCTAATATTTTTTTCCAGCTGAAAACGAAGGCTCAGACTCCCCACACTCTGTAGGAGGTGGCATGATCTCACCACACACTAACAATGTCTACACCTCAGAGAGACATAAGGGCTGCCTTTAGCCAGAGTGTGTGTTCTAAACAGGGGCATCACGGTATGGGGAGGACAGTCCTGATTTCACCACTGTGCTCACCAATAGTGAAAAGTCCTGGATCAGTCGCTTTCACTATGTGATAAGAATGCCATGCATTTTGACCAGAGTCCGCATCCACTGCGATCACCTTGGAGACCAGAGAGCCTGACTGGGCAGCTTTGGGCACCATCTCAGTCATGAAGGAGTTTCCTTCCGGAGAGGGGTATAAGATTTGTGGAGAGTTATCATTCTCATCACTTATGAAGACGCTCACAGTCACGTTACTGCTGAGTGGAGGAGAACCGTTGTCTCTAACTACCCAGGGGTCCTCAAGTTGCCTGCACTAGAAAGTTTACTTTGGTGTACAATTGTAAATTTGGGAAGGGGTCTCATAGATACTTAATTTGCACAAAGCCCAGATGTATGTGAAATGCCTGAGGTCTAAGTGAAAGAGGGTTATAATAGTTTTAAGAGTTACGTATAATGTGTTTTCAGAGTTTTATTTATCTGTCTCCCCATGAAATTCAGTTTTGTTTATCTGTCAAGGATTATTTATCTTTATCATTTTCTTTCTTTCTCTTTTTTTATACATTATACATTACCCACACTCGTGGCCTGTGATACATTAATGCATCTATTAGCATTTTTATGGGCCTTAAGATTCTTTTCTCATTTAGACCACAAAATAGCTGTTATACAGCTGTGCATTAGTGTTGTACAAGCATTAAATCTAGTGCTTCTTTTCAACAAGTAATACCTATATTTTTAGAGGTTACACTTTTATACTATTCTTGGGTTGAAAGCACTTTTTGTTACAAAAATGTTTTCTTTATAAGTTTTAATTTTCATTTTAGTGTTGGTGTCCCACAGTAACCTTGACATCAGCTTAATAAAGTCAGCCTCTAGTGCACACCCTTCTTTTGTTCTAAGGCAACATTTGGAGAAATAAACAAAATATTTTAATTATTTAAAAAAGATGAAAAAGATATTAAAATGTAAGGCCACAGTCTTTGCAAATCTAACATTAAAATCGCCTGTGAAGCACCTCGCCTTAACACTCATCTCTCTCTCTCCCTCTGTCTCTCTCACTCTCTGTTTTGTGTTTCTAAGTCATCCTCCGGCTGCATAACTGCATTCTCTGTTTTCTTGGGTCATGTTTTCTCTGTTATTCGTGCTTTTCTGCATTCATCTCTCTCTGTCTCTGTCCTTTTGTTTCTGTCTGATGTGGAACGAAGAGACAGAGGTGAAAACAGTGTGACACCATCTGTCTGCTTCGTTAAGACAAGTAGACAGACAGGAAGTCATTAGAAAATCCACAGAGACAGACGCACACTTTCACTCGCACACATACGCTTGCGCACGACGGCGGGCCTGCAGTGTCACCGCACTCCACAGTGCGAGTGTGTGTTGAGTTTGCGTGGAAGTGGAGAGTGTAAGCCATGAGCTCACCTGCACTCTGATTGGTTGGGACATATGCAGCGTTCTGGAATTAGAGTGAGTCAGGGAGAGCCGCTCCGCACTCCAGGAAACATCTGCTGCTCTACCTAACACGCAAAGCAGCATGTGTGTGTGTTTTATTACATTTCTGTCACGGCCTGCTTGGTCAATATAAAACGAGTGGACAAATCTGTCATTTTCAGCTGAACTGGACAGATCTGAGAATTAGGACAGAGGAGACCTGCGTCCATGTGTGTGTGTTTTATTTCCACTGACTAATGTTATGATGCAGAAGTAGTGGATAAAGCCAGGGACTGGGCTGAGGAGAGAGAGAGAGAGAGAGAGAGAGAGAGGGACAGAGAGAGAGAGAGAGAAACAGAGAGAGAGACAGAAAGAGAGAGAGTCAGAAAGAGAGAGAGTAGGGCCTGACAATACTGACCGATACTGAATATTTATTAGTATCAGGAAAAATCCTGCTCATTTTGTATTATAACAACAGACACCTCTGATGTGAAAAGAACCTTTCACTTTATGAAGACTTCTGCTGACAATCACCACCTTCACCTGCTATGACAGCACTGCAGGCTGAAATAGTAGATCTGAACACAAAACACTTTACTTAAGACTTGAGTACACCATTTATTTAAGTTTAAAAGTTCTGTATACAACATTTTAAAAATTAATATAGCAGCCAACAACTATTTTCTATGTAAAGACATTATGGAGTAATGGCGTCCTGAGCAGAGAATATAGCCATACCCCCTCTGTGTGTGTTGTGATCAGAGCTTCTCTGTTTTTTTGTTTTCATAGCTGGTCCAGCCGTGTGTGCATGTTAGTCCTGCCATGTGAAAACGTCAGCCGTCCCTACATGTAGTTTTGCCCTCCCCAAGAGACAAAGACAGTGACCACCCACACAGCCTTG